CACCCCCCCCAAAAAAAAAACCCCCCCAAAAAAAAAAAAAAAAAAAAAAAAAAAAAAAAAAAAGTGAAAAGTGTGTAACTTAAAGCTTCCTAAAGAATTTATATTCCACATAATTAAATTTTTACACCTTAAGAAAGACTTTAAGTACACTTGAAAGTATGCTTGAAGTAGGACCCAGTGCCCTGCCGGCCAGTGGGTGAGGGCAAACGGGCAGCATTGGTGAACACTGGCAGACATGCCCTCCGCGTGACTTTTGATGACTGAGGCTCTGGCTGCATTCAAATTTCCCTTTTTATTTCTCTGCCTATGTCAGACAGCATCTGAACTCCCCTATCTAACCATGTGGTGCAAACTACTGTAAATATTATTTTAAATGTGTTACTATGTGACAAAAGGTATTTATTCCAAAGAACCAATCAGTTAACTTAGGAAAACAGAAACTTCGTAGAAGCAAACGACCTACGTCCCCACTCAGCCCGCTCTTCGGCTGTCTGGAAGACAGCGCCTGAAGAGGCCGCCAGCGTGCTCTGGTTAGTGAGCAAGCTGTCTGATGCAGCCCCACTAGCTATTTCAGAACAACAGTCAGTTTTTCTGTGCTGAATTCTGGTTGGTTTGAGTAGACAGAGAGCTTGTGGGGTCAGTGTCACTGAGACGCTGACTCCACGGAGCTGGCCACCTCTAAAGCTGCTGAATACAGCTGTTAGTTTCATTCCCATCTCTTTTTACCTCTTGATCTGGATACACAGTATCGACTCACTCACCCTGAATGAATAGGGCTGGAAGAAAGAGCCACGTTGTCTAAATTCTCAGCACCCCAGCTCAGACGGTAAGAATTCCTCTCTGCCTCCTTGGCTAGAGTTGACACCTAAGCACAAACAAAGCTCAGTTTATTAAAATGTTTTACTTTGAATAAAGCAAACTAAAATGAATCTAAAACGTAGCATCACAGGAAGGTGATATAACTTGGAAAAACTTTATTTAAAAAATAAGACCAATGCATTTAAAACAAACCTTTTTTGAATGCATTCCCCTTTTTGTATTACCGATATAAAACCATATTAGCATAAACTTCTCGGCAGAGAATGGGTGTTCATCAATTTCCCTATAACCAATCCACCCAAGGATAAAATCATACCTAAAATTATTACTAAATAAAATGTAAGCCTTTTCTCATAGCTAACAATTTTAAATATTGAAAGATATATTTCAATCTGTACCATCTACTTTTATACTTTAAATACATTCTACGTCACTTTTCTCTGTGACAGAGATTTTAGTTTAAAAACAAATCTTTATGCAAAATTGCCACAGAATTCAGTATTGCTGGATCATCAGGATACTGTATCAAAAAATCTCTGCTCATTAAAAATGTAGTGATCATTTATCATGTTTTAGGAAAACCCTCAGATCTCCTAGCTTGTTGGCTACACTAAGGACAATTTAAAATAAAAGATTATTTCTAGCACCCAGTAATGTTTAAAGAGTCCCCAGGAAGCAAAGCTCAGAAGGCAGACCGCTGTGTACCTGGTGGCTGGGGATCATGCCCGGGTCGTCCATGACGGTGCTGCCCCTCAGGTGCGAGGCGTGGCTCAGGGTGTGAGACCTGTCGGAACTGAAGGACCGCAGGCTGGAAGATTGGCAGGCGCCAGGTCACGTGCCAACAGCAGGAGCAAGGTTGGGCGGCGAGGCCGAGCGGAGCGGGAGTGAAGGAAGCTGCTATTAGCCAACCGTGCAGTGCAGGCCCGGCTGCTCGCTGCCCTCCACCCCCATCGGCCTCACCAACACTGCCTCTGACTGAATGGCAAGGCACAGAGGAACCAGAAGCTAAATCTGATACTCCTATTTGATTAATTTTCTACCCAGAAATGTCTGAAAACAGCAACAGGAGTTTACTACTCCCAGTATAAGAAATTCACGCAGGAAATAGTTCCAGAATCTGTGTTGAAGGCTAACCTCCCTGAACTAAGGAAAACACTCGGGGAGAAGTGGACAGCCGGAGAGAACAGGGAGGAAGTGAGGTTTCGCTCTGCTCATTCTCTGTCCTCCCTGCAGGCCTCTCTCCGCCTTTGTCCTGTGAGTGGCGGTGCTGCTGCACTCCCCTGGAGGGACAGTGAGCGAGCGATGGCCACACGCCTGCTTCCTGCGGAAGTGGAGTCCTCCTGTTTGTCTCTGGTGACTCCACAGTGCTGTTATTTCAGACAAGGGCACTAACCCCTCTCACGTCCTGTGTGTGTGAATGAAGTGCCCAAGCACTGGTCTCCATGGTGATGAAATGCAAGAGCAAAAGACGTGGTGTCTACACAGCAGCTCAGAACGCAGACCCCGGCCAGCACACACAGACTGCAGAGATGCGGCCTCATCCTTTCTTAATCAATTGAATAATCAGATGACATACTGACACTGGTTGATAATATATCTTAAATACGTGTATACATATCAGTTCAAGAATCAAAGATCTATATGTAAAATACCACTCCAAAGCCCATGGGGGTAAAGAAAGACAAGCAACCTGTCACAATATTTATGCATGCAAACTTCCATTTTCTTTTAGTGAGTTCTTGGACAGTGAAGCTATGTAGAATTATGGACTAAATGTCAGTTTTGCATATTTACTAGCAGAAACTTTCATTTTGCAAATATATCTAATTTTGTAAGCCACATAATAATATCTGAACAAGGTGTCAATATAGCCTTTGAGGAAACCAGTCACTTTAGAGATAATTTGCAGTAATCCAGGGCTTTATCCCTCCCATTCTGTAGGTTATGACAAAGAAAACAGACCTCAAGTCTTAGAGGTAGGTGACAAATCAGAGGGGGTGACCACCTGATCTTACGTGTTCTCATCTATGTAAGTCTGTACGTGTACAATAACCCAGCCCTAAAGAGACCTAGGAATTAGCTGTTTGATGTCATACTGGTTCTTGGAGAAGACCGTGGCCAATGCACTGAGACAGGAGCTACAGCCCCAGAAGCTGGAGGCGGCTGAAATCACAGCTGGCCGCACAGCTGTGCAGTCAGCAGCCCGAGCTACAGCTGCTGTGCTGGCTTGCCCCACCCCTGAGTTTGAGTCTAGGTTAGGTATTAAACTGTTAGGAAAAGGATCTTTAAATGGCAAAGGTGTCTCCCTGGTGGAATGAGCAATTTTTCCTTTTCTTTTCTTTCTTTCTTTCTTCTTCTTTTTTTCTTTTTTTTTAAACTGCTTTAAAGATACGCAGGTCTACCTGGATGGAGATACCCTGGTCTACCTGGATGGAGATACGAGGTCTACCTGGATGGAGATACCCAGGTCTACTTGGATGGAGATACGCAGGTCTACCTGGATGGAGATACGCAGGTCTACCTGGATGGAGATACGAGGTCTACCTGGATGGAGATACGCAGGTCTACCTGGATGGAGATACGAGGTCTACCCTGGATGGAGTTAGCAGGGTCTACTGGATGGAGATACGCAGGTCTACCTGGATGGAGATACCCAGGTCTACCTGGATGGAGATACCCAGGTCTACCTGGATGGAGATACGAGGGCTACCTGGATGGAGATACCCAGGTCTACCTGGATGGAGATATGCAGGTCTGCCTGGATGGAGATATGAGGGCTACCTGGATGGAGATACGAGGTCTACCTGGATGGAGATACGCAGGTCTACCTGGATGGAGATACGAGGTCTACCTGGATGGGGGTACGCCAGGTCTACCTGGATGGAGATACGAGGGCTACCTGGATGGAGATACCCAGGTCTACCTGGATGGAGTTACGAGGTCTACCTGGATGGAGTTACCCAGGTCTACCTGGATGGAGTTACCCAGGTCTACCTGGATGGAGTTACCCAGGTCTACCTGGATGGAGTTACCCAGGTCTACCTGGATGGAGTTACCCAGGTCTACCTGGATGGAGTTACCCGAGGTCTACCTAGATGGAGATACGAGGTCTACCTGGATGGAGTTACCCAGGTCTACATGGATGGAGATACCCAGGTCTACCTGGATGGAGTTACGAGGTCTACCTGGATGGAGTTACCCAGGTCTACCTGGATGGAGTTACCCAGGTCTACCTGGATGGAGTTACCCAAGTCTACCCTTGGTGGCTCCTGCACTAGCCTGGCAGCTCTCATCTCGTCCCCCTGGGCCAGCAGCTGGTGCAGTGGTTAAGGCAGCTGGACCCCACAGGGCCGGCTGTGCTGCTGGAACCCTGAAAAACATGCCAGGCACAGGTGTGCCCAAGTGCCCAAAATCCAATCCTGAGAGGAGAATGGAGGAGAAGGGATTGCAGTGTGGCCGCCCCCACCCTGGGGGGGGGCAGTGCTTTCTCACTTTCCCTCTCTGTCACTCTCCCGTGAGTATATGTACACTATAGCAAGTTAAAACAAACACAATTATTTTGCTTTGTTTGTTTTAATTTGGGCCAAGAAGGAGGCGATACTAGGGGGCAGACCTCTTGAAATGGTACAGCCCATCGAAGGGCTCGACCTCTTCCTCCAAGTGCTTGCTTTTTCTTTCTTTCTTTCATTTTTTTTTTCTTTTTTAAATTTTTTGCTAGAGGGCACATGTACTCACTGGAGAGAGACAGAAAAAGAGAAAGATAAGGAAAATGAGACAGGATCCCCACGCCCATGGGAGCTGGGCCACGCCACACCCCTCTCTGTCTCTCCTTGTGGAAATGTGGGTGCCATGTGCATGTGCCCAGTGACTTTTTAAGCTGCGGGGTCTGGGACTGACCACAAATTGGCCACATGGGATCTAGCTGCCTTAGTCACCGTGCAACTGGCTGGGCCTGGACATGGTTTCTGTGGGGCTCAGATTTGCTCATCACTTTACCTCTGTCCATGGTTTTAGAAGGTGAAGAATCAGGTTACAACTCTGTACACTGAAAGGTGCTAATGCGTGTGGGTCACAGCACGAAGTGATCAAAGGGCACACAGAGCCAGAGGGAGGTGTCTTCCGACAGAGTCTCCACCGCCAGGCTGACCCCACAGGCAGCAGTGAGACTGCCAGTCTCAAGGGGTGGAAATCCAGCTCAGGTGAACAAGTTGAGTGAGAAACAAAGGTCCCTCAAACAAAACCTAGCAATGGTTGTCAGCACTATGAATGTCTAAACTTTGAGAGATGACACCGGTAACCCCACCACCTCTCTCAAGGACTGACAGTGACCGAGAACACAGGGTTGTGTTCCGTCCACTCAGTTTCAGAATCATAGCAGCAAAGGACCTGCTGGGCCGAGAAGGTGACCAGTGCTGAAGTGGGTGTGGGTGTGGTGGCCGCTCACCTGACCCCAGTCTGTTTGCCAGCGGGCTCTGAACTGGGAGGGGTGGGAGCGGTTGGTACTATTTACCTCTCACAAAACCCCAACAGGAAAGAAATACAGAGCAAGAAGAAAGAAAAGAGAGACAAACTGACTTACAACCACGAAAGGTGATTAGAGTAGAGAGATATTAGGATATGTAGATAGCGAATGAGAAAAATTGGATGGAGAGGGGGGGGGAAGACAAATGAGTAGAAGCCATACACCTGAGAATCTCTCGCCCTGGATTTTATGCTCACTGTGTTTACCATACTCTGGAATGCTAACTGGTTATTTGATCAATGTTTATAGTTCCTAATTGCTCTTTCTATGTTGTCATAGAACCTACTTAAATGAAATAAAGGTAATTAGAATATTCCAACAGCAGAGAAATTATTCTCTCTGATGAAATCACACCAGCACAAAGGTTTAGAATAATTCAAGTCTCTGGAAAAGAAATTGTCCAGGGGCCATCCCTGGTGCAGGAGTTACATCACTGGATTCCCACGTGGCCAACCGCAGTTTCAGGCCAGACCCAGTGACTTGAAACTCACGCTGGGCTCATACAAGTGCGTGCCCAAAATCTTGAGAGGAGAATGGAGGAGAAGGGATTGTGGTGTGGCCATCCTCCCTGGGGGGTGACTTCTCACTTTCTCTCTCTGTTTCTCTGGCAAGCCCATGCACCTGATAGCAAAAAAATCTCTCTCAAAAAAAAAAAAAAAAGAAAAAGAAAAAAAATTGTCTACCCTGATTTAAAACATCATAAACAAGTGTATATATATATATGTGTGTGTGTGTGTGTGTGTGTGTGTGTGTGTGTGCATGTATATATATATATATATATATATTGCAACAGGGTTCCTATTTTTTTAAATAAATCAGAGGCACTGTTGTTCAGTTAACAAATTTATAACAACACATATCCATATAAACATTTATTTTTATTTACTGTTCAGCTAGAGATGTGCCAAGACTTTTGTTATGGTCTTTTTCTTTTTTTTTTTAAATCACTGTACAAATGCTTTATGGACACACATAAGGTAGTATGAAAGCGTAATTCATTAAAAATGTACACAAAATCCAACTGAACAGAACCTGGTTTTGTTTTTATTTCATGTAAACTAAATTGTATATTTTTACTCTTCACATGCATATACATTTTGGGCATCAAAATCGCATTCCCATATTCTCCAACTGCACATGGGCCTGTCAGGGTTGTCTGGGGAAGCGACTCTAGTGTGCTGTCAACCACAAGGTGGAGCTGTGACAGAGTCAAACCAGGGTCACGTCAGACTTTCTGACACACACTAATACACTCATATCTGCTAGTTCAGTTACTTATTCAACTCGATACCTAAAACACCTAATTGGAGAGTAAATCCATAATTCTAGAATACAAGCATCCCCTACCAACACACACACACACACACACACACACACACACTGAGCATGAGCTAGGAGTGTGGACAGGGCAAGGAAGGCCACGGTCCATGCTGGACATAGGTATGGCACTATGAAAGCGTACCAAGTAAAGAAATAATGAAAAGGAAACCAGGTACTGAAGAAAGGCAGCATACTGCATTGCTTAAGCAAAATGAATAAACAGAAAACAAAGGAAAAGACCATGGAGGTGAGATGCTGCCTAAAAGCCGCTGTGGAGACCACAGGTACCCTAGGCCCTGGGCGTACAGGTGCGGGCCTGCCGAGTGGGTTGTGTTTTGTCTGCCTTGGGTACTCCCGTCCTTGCATGCCAACGAGCATTCAGGGTAAGCAAAGCCTCAGGTAATCCGCCCTGCTTTACAGAAAGTACTATCATAAATTCTTCCTCAACCTCAGCACTTTGAAAGAAGGAAAAAGGGAGACCATGCTAAAATTGGAGAATTTTTGGATGACAGAAAAATGATTATTCATATATTTTTATGAATTCATACAATGCCATACTTTCATTTTACTAAAATCTGAATTCCCTTTTTTATTGTAATTCATTCATTCTCCTTACGTATCTGTTCTTCAGTTGATGGGCATGTGGGTTATTTCAAAGTTTTGGTTTTTAGGAATAGTGCTTCCATGAGCATTCTTAAATATATCTTTTGTGAACATACATAGGAATTTTTGTTGCATAAACTCTTTTAAGAACCTCAGATTATAAAGTCCAAATACATCCATGAATCAAAGTTCAGTATCTGAAACACTTACCGTTACCGCCCCCTCCCCGAGGGGCACCCCTCCTGTTTCCTGGCCCCAGTCTTCACGCTCTCCACAGCTGAAACCAAGGAGCCGCCTCGCACACCCTGTGCGATCGACTGCCAGTCTGGCCCCGTGTCTCTTAGACGGCCCCATCCTCTCCAGGTCTGCCAGCGAGGGCGGCGTTCTGGCCCTCACTTAACTGCAGCTGGCATCCGCGGGCAACCTGTCAGGTGGCTGCGCCCCCACTGTGGCCTTCTGATAACTCCTCTCTAAAATTCATCCGTCTTGCGGGGAGAAGGATCCCCCCCAACTTGCAAATGCAGTCTCCCCCTGCACACTCGCACCCCAGCAATGCTACACGACTTTCCTCTCGTACACCGTGGGCCTCTGCTCACGACCTTGTTCAGGCGTCCGACCTCCCTGTCCGTCCCTTCCTCACCATCTGAGGTCTTGAGCCTCACGGCTCCAGGGCTGTCTGTGTACTACGTGTGGGGTTAGCCCTCCCCCCTAGGCTGTGGGGTGAGCAAGGTCTGTCACGTGTGTACCTCCAAGACCTGAACCGAGCCAAGCACAGAAAGGCACTTTTACATCCATACTGCACTGCTTTTAAAAAAATAAATAAATGAAATAAAAGTAGAGAAGGGAATATTGGTATTCAAGGAAAAATCCCAAGAGAAGCTGCGTTTTGCTAATTACCCATTTAGAACTGACCTCTCTTTAAGGTATTTATTTCTTAGACTCTAAACATGTTGGATATTCATAAAATGCTTATAGTGTGGTGTTATCTGCTGAAGATATTTTGATCAACGGGTCTGGGGAGAAATGTGCACATATCGAAATGGTCTCATTGTAAGCCAAACAATATGATTGAAAGTATATACAAAAAAATAAATAAAAAAAGGAAAAAAAATGCTTATAGTAGCACCAACTTAGAATTGATAAGCCTGAAACTGTTGATTAGCAAAAGATGTTACACTTCCAAGAACAATACTTCACTTGACCTAAATTGCCAGTCATACTTTTGATGGGATGTTCTGGCTAGTAGTACCCCCTCAAACACACAAACACACACACACACACACACACACACACACACACACACAACAACAACAACAAAACCACAGGCCATGGATTTCAGAATCTTCTGTAGAGCTCCCTAGACTTGTCAAGGAAAGCTGGCCCCGAAACATCACTCAGATTGCTTCTGTGTCCAGGCTCCCACAAGACGCCCTTCTGACCTTTCTGCATGAAAAGGTCATTTTTAGGGAGCTTTCTTCTAAATGCTTTTCTCTTTAATTCTTCCTCACAACATACTTTTAGTCATAGAAACTGCAGCACTGACAAGAGGGGGACTGTCTGTAGGGTGTACAGACACCTCTCAGCAAGAGCTCCTGTAGGCAAAACTGTCCTTTCCAGAGTCACCTGGAGAAAGTGGCAATAATTTAAAATATATTTAAGGACAGACAGGTTTTAGTCACCATGTTCTGCTTCTTCCCAGTTGCCTGATTTCACTAAACTATTTAATCTCTTTAGAACTGTTTCTTGCACTTCCTGGTGGTCAGAGAACAGCACTGGACAACAGCTCACCACAGAGCCCAGTCATGGCAGCTACTGCTGCATCACGTCACTGCAGTGAGCTCCTCACACCTGCCTGACACCAAGTGGAGGCACATGTGCACACCTGTCAGAGCGCCACCCTCCAAGCTACAGGGCAGGCAGTTAGCACCTGTCAGAGTGCCCACCCTCCAAGCTACAGGGCAGGCAGTTAGCACCTGTCAGAGCACCCACCCTCTAAGCTACAGGGCAGGCAGTTAGCACCTGGCCGGCCCCCCGCCCTTCAAGCTACAGGGCAGGCAGTTAGCACCTGTCAGAGCGCCCGCCCTTCAAGCTACAGGGCAGGCATTTAGCACCTGTCAGAGTGCCCGCCCTCCAAGCTACAGGGCAGGCAGTTCTTACCTGTCAGAGCGCCCGCCCTCCAAGCTATAGCGCAGGTAGTTCATGCCGTCCAAGAACTGACTGCTGGGGAGAGAGTCGTCACCCAGTTCTTTCAGGTCCTCAGGCCTCAGGTACTCTCCCCCATCTCCTGTCATGGTGTCATCACCTTGAAACAATCAGGGGAAGACGAGAATGATTTGTTGGGTGTAATGTCAGTTAATGTAGGCCATGACTGCAAAATGCATCAGCATACTGGCTAGACAGCAGTCACACACACACTAGGAGGTCAGGACACAGAGGGTCACCAAGTACTGACACCGGGAGCTTCAGTCCAGTTCTCATTGTTACTCATTGAGAAGAAGTAATTCCCAGAATTGTAATTCTTTTAAGATCTATCAATTCGCCTTATTCACTGTATCTTTATTATGATAAGTGGTTAGAGCCTGTAGTATCTAACTTAACAATTAGCCAATGTATAGATCACTAACTTTTCTCTGCACTTTCAATGAATCTGTGTAATGTCTAGCATTTAGTCTCTTCACATAATTGTAAATATGCTAAAAAATGTCCACTGTCTAAAACAAATATGTAATATTTTAAATGGCATTATCACAATATTTTAAAATAGCAAAATACTGTATATGTATTAGGAAAATAGCATTAGAATGGAGAATAGAATGTGAAATGTTAATGAATTTAATTTAAAACCATTATTTGTTTGTTTGTTTTTGTCTTGGAAATCATTTATTCTCTGTAAAAAGTCAAGAGTATGGGGCCAGCAGGTGGCATAGTGGTTAAGGTGCTGAACTCCCCCACATGGCTGACTGAGGTTCAAGTCCCAGACCAAGCAGTTTGCTTTCTCACTTTCCCTCTCTCCTTCTCTTTCTCTCTCCAATGAGCGCATGTGCCCTGTATCAAATTAAGAAGAAAAAAAAAGAAAGAAAAAAAAAGAAGAAAAAAAAGAATTAGAATATGTTGGCTTTGCAGGGCACTGATGGTCTCTGGGAACATTGTATCCCATAATTTAATCAGGAAGATTGAACCACAACAAGAGGATAGATTAAGTACATGAGACTGAACTGGCAAAATAGCATTTTATGACTTTTGACTAAAACATTGCTGATTTTCTTCTAGGCTTTGTTTTCTGTTTTTAAGGATTTTTGTCCTGTCTTGAGCTGTTGATAGGTTCGTGTACCTACTATTTGAACAGAATCCTAGCCTGTTTCCTGGCTTTAAGTTTTAAGCAAAGTTCCTTAGCACTGAGCACATGTGCATGCATGCCCCAAATCCTGGGAAGAGAATGGAGGAGAAGGGACTGTGGTGTGACCATCCCTCCAGGGAGGTGTTTTCTCACTTTCCCTCTCTTGGTTTCTGTGTCTCTTGTGAGTGCACCTGTCCTATGGCAAAAATCTAAACATATATATATATATACACACACACACATGTGCTCAGTGTGTTTTTCAAGCCCACAGGTCCGAGAGCCAAACTGCAGAGTCAGCCATGTGGGATCCAACTTCCCAACCACATACTACCTGCTGGCCTGTCACAATTTTTTTTAACCCTTTACCAATGTAAAAAACATTCTTAGCTCAAGGTCTGTTACACATACATTGTAATCATACTTTGTTGACTCCAGCTTCACACTGAAAGCTCACAGCAGAAACTATGGACAAATAATATTCATGAAATCCTACGAGTTTTTGAAGTATTATAATTTTTAATAGTGTGTATACATAGGATAAAATTAAAATTGTATGAAAGTGTATGAAGAAGGCCAGCAGGTGGCATGATGGTTGAGGTACTGGACTCCCACATGGCAGACTGTGGTTTAAGTCCGAGACCTGACAGTTTGCTTTCTCTCTCTCTCTCTCCTCTTTCTGGTGATCACACATGCCCTGGAGCAAAAATATTTAAATTAAATAAAATAATTCTTTTTTTTTAACTACAATTAAAATATGAATTTATTTTGGTACAAAAACTTTTGGAAATTCATAGTTTTCCCATTACACATATTTCCATGAGTTTTTTTTTTCTGAAATTTTAAAAATTAATTAACTTACATTCATTCCCTAAGCATCATCACAGCATACAAAATGTGATTTCCCATCTAGAATATACTGTATAGTGGCTTAATCATGCATGTCATCATCAATAACATTCCATTTCTAGTTTCATATATATATAAACCTATATATATATACACACACATATATATAACTGTATGTGTGTGTATATAGTTTTATATGTGTGTGTAAATGTATGTATATATGTGTGTATGTGTGAATGTGTGTGTGTGTGTGTGTGTGTAAACCCATATATATTTTTAACCCCTATGTCTGACCTTCTGCCCTTTCCTACCCTCTTCCCACACTCACTCTGGTATCTACAGTTGTCTTCCATTCCTTTTCCCCCCTCATTTTAACGATCACACAATTGCTTACATAATCGAACTACTTTCAATAGCAAATTCAGCTGGTAATTTTAAGAAAAGCAGTTTTAATGTTAATAAATCAAATAAATGGTAAGGAACTTTGCTTAAAACTTAAAGCCAGGAAACAGGCTAGGATTCTGTTCAAATAGTAGGTACACGAACCTATCAACAGCTCAAGACAGGACAAAAATCCTTAAAAACAGAAAACAAAGCCTAGAAGAAAATCAGCAATGTTTTAGTCAAAAGTCATAAAATGCTATTTTGCCAGTTCAGTCTCATGTACTTAATCTATCCTCTTGTTGTGGTTCAATCTTCCCGATTAAATTCTGGGATACAATGTTCAACTCCAGACTTGTCCCTACAATTAAGTTGGCCATTTTCTTCATTTTTGAACTCTTATTTCCATGTGTCTGTATTTAATTTTCCTGGTATAGACTCCTTTGAGAACTTTTTGGAGATCTGGTCTGGTGCTGGTAAATTCTTTCAGGTTTTGTTTATCTGAGAACATTCTTGTCTTTTTTTCCCATGTGAAGGATAATCTTGCCGTGTACAGTATTCTTGGTTGAAATTGCCTTTCCCTTAACATTTTGAATGTATTTTCCCATTCTTTCCTTGCTTGCATTGTTTCTGATGAGAGGTCTGCTGTTAGCCTGATGGGATATCCTTTATAGGTAACTCGCTGTTTTTCTCTTGCCAGTCTTAGTATCTTGTCTTTGTGGTTTTGGTCAATCTGGCTATACTGTGTCTTAGAGAAGATCTTCTTGGGTTGATTCTATTTGGGGTCCTTTGTATTTCTTGGGACTGGATCTTTGAGTGCCTCTCTAGGTTTGGAAAGTTTTCTTGACGGATTTCATGGAATAGATTACCAATGCCCTTATGAGTCTCTTTGCCTACTGGGATGCCAGTTATCCAGATGTTTAGACGTCTGATGGTATCTAGTATTTCTCGTATATGATTCTCATTTTGGAGGGATAGTTTTCTCAGTCTTTGTGGTGGATTTTTATAGGCCAGCAATTTTCTCTTCTGTGTCCTAGATTTGATTTTCTGTATGATCAGGTCTGCTTTTAATACTTTCAAGGGAGATTTGGTCGTCTTGTATTATAGCCTTCATCCCTAACAGGTTCATCTGATTCTTTTTTAAAGTGTGTAATTCCTCTTTTACATCTTGCAAGAATTTCCTTACCTCCTGGAACTCATCAACTCCTTTCTCCTGCCTCTTCTGCAGTTCATTTTCTCTCTTCTCTTTCATCTCTGTTAGCTTTCTCATTATGAATACTCTAAATTCTTCATCAGACATTTCCATGATTTCCATTGAACTGTCTGTGGATGAAGAGGAGTTATACTTTTCTGTTGGAGGAGAGGTATTTTCTTGCTTTCCCATATTTCTTGTGACCCTGTGGTGATTTCTAGTCATCCTCGCCAGACAGAGAGAGAGACAGAGAGACAGAAAGCCAGAAATCACCCCCCCAAGGGTATGGTCACGCCGCAATCCCTTCTCCTCCATCCTTCTCTTGGGACCTTGGGCACGCACGCATATGCGCCTGGCATGAGTCTCAAGCCACCAGGTCCGGTACACAAACCGTGATCAACCATGTGGGAGTCCAGTGACATAGCCATTACGCCAACTGCTGGTTCCCTCTTCCTAATTCTTGAAGTTCAATCTGAGCATTCAGGACCATGCAGAACGAGGTGATCTGGAATCTCTTTGCCATTCCATTTTTATCCCTTTGTGCAGCAGATTCAGTAGATGTTGAGGAATATGTTAACCCTAATAGTATTTGGATGTCTAGCTATGGTTCCCTTAGATCCATCTAGAAACACAAAGAGTGGAGACTGAGGATCAGAGTGATGAGATAAAAGAAAAAGAAAAGGAAACAGAGAGAGAGAGAGAAAAGAAAAACTAACAAACAAACAACAAAGAAACAGAGAAAAAGAAGAAAAAAATTAAAAAAATAATTTTTTAAAAAAGCAAAAACCCATGCAGCGTGCAATCACTAGTTCTCAGGAGCCATGGAGCAATCTTCTCCTGAAGGCCTGCCCCTTGCATCTCCTGGATAGGTAGGGAAAAGGGAATTGTTAGCGAGACAAAGGAGGGGCTGAAAGTCAAGAGAATACTTTACCTTTAAAAATTTTGAAAAGGAAAAATTACCAAAAAAAAGAGAAGACAGAGACAGGGGCAGAGAGAGACAGAGACAGAGAGAAGGCCAGAGGGGCTTCCTACCACTCGAGTTTGGGGGGCTAGAGGCTGAATTATCCATTGAAAAATCTTCATTTCTCTGTTTTCCCTGAAATCACTAGTTCTCAGGAGCCATGGAGGACAAAACCATTATTTTTTAATTGTTCCTTTGTCTTTAATTTTTATTTATTTTTAATTTTTTTGTTTTTAATTAATTTACATTAATTCACTGAGCATTGTCACAGCATACATAATGTGATTTCCCATCCAGAATATACTGCATAGTGACTTAATCATACATGTTATCGTCAATAATTTTCCATTTCTAGTTTCACATATACATATGTATGTATACATTTCTCCCCTATTTCTCACCCTCTGCTATTTTCCACCCTCCTCCCACACTATCTCAGGTGTCCACAGTTGTTTTCCATTCCTTTTTTCCCCCACATTTTATTGATTCACAAAATTTCTTAAATAGTCTAACTACTTTCAATAGCAAGCTCTGCTGGTGTGTGTGTGTGTGTGTGTGTGTGTGTGTGTGTGTACATATATATAT